AAAAAAGAAATTAGATTCATCAAAAATAAAAAATAAATATTTCTATTGTCATTTCTGATATTTTAATAATAAGAAATTCTCAATCCCTTTCTTTATGAGCGGTTTCGAGTTTGCTCATTTATGTATAAAAAATAAAAAAAAATTAAATTAGATTCATCAAAAATAAAAAATAAATATTTTTATTGTCATTTCTGATATTTTAATAATAAGAAATTCTCAATCCCTTTCTTTAAAGATATATAGGTGGCGTTATTTCAAAAATCAAGCGACCTTAAGACGGAAAAAACCTAAGCAGATGTTGGAAGATGTATAAGTCGAGGCTTCAGGAGCTGTGCCAAAAGAGAGGGTGGAGCCTGCCGGAGTACAACTCCACGAAGCAGGGTCAAGACCACAACCCCCGCTTTGAAGCCGCCGTCGTTGTTAACGGCCTCAACTTTCAGTCGAAGAATCCGGCCAAGTCCTCCAAGGATGCACAGAACGACGCGGCTCACGTCGCCTTCCTTCATTTCTCTTCTCCTCCTCCTCCCACTCCTCTTCCTCCTCCTGGTAATCTCTCACCGTTTTCAATTCGTTTTAGATTTGTGCTACTGGAATTAATATTTGAATTGTTCTCCACTAATTCTTGCATTTTCAGTGGTTAATTTGGTTTTTGTTTTCTGAGAAAACGCAGGAAAATGATAAGGAGTTCATGAATCTTTACAATTTTATTTAAATGTGCAAATCTTAGCATATGAAAGCTATTAAATAAAAAAATATTCATGTTCTTGATATTATTTCATTTTTGCGTGTAATTCAGAATCCAATTTTTTTGTCTATTTAACTTTTTAATTTTCAATTTATGGTCAAAGTTAAATGGATGTGGTTTTCCTCCTGGATTTTTAAAGTTTATCTCAATTGTTGTTATCATGATTTTGTGCTTGATTGCTGAAGAATGCTGGAAGGATCAATTATGTCGTCCTGCATTTTCTTTACAATTGGGTCTCTAATTTAGCTTCTTTTGAAATTAGAACTAACAAACAAGTTTGATCTCTTCCCATGGTTTTCCAATAAGTCAATAGGAAACAATTAGGGCTAGCTTAATTATCCATCCTCTGTGGTGGTTGCTTGTTTTGTTACATCAAGTGACAAGGAAAAGTAAAGGATCTCAAAGATTTGAGTTTTATGATTTTTTTACTTTGGGCTCAATATCTTGGTACTTCTAATTTTGGCAGGTTCTTCAAATCAGGCTATAAATTTGGATAATAATATTGTCAAGAGTACTTTACAAGTTGAAAGACAAGAAGCAAATCAAAGTTCCCAGGTGCTTGGAACTGCCTCTGTTGTCAAAGATAATGATGATAGATTCAAAGGTCAGAAATTTTCTTTTGGTGCTTCTCTAATTTTAAAGATAGATAAAGAAAGAAAAGACCCACCTAAAGGATATATGGATATCTGGTTTAGTCATTTCCACTGGTGGAAAATATTTAAATATGGTAAATGTCCTTACTAGAGTCAACCTGTGTTCTCTTGCTTGTGAAGTTATGGTTTCTAGTGTCAAAATAATTGTGCTGCTTATTCTCATTATGTTTCATTCTAGCTGGTTGCAAGTGTTGTTTCCTCTCCTATTTGGTGTTTAGAATTTTTCTGCACTTAAATAACAGACTGTAGGAAACTGAAATAGGGGGTGTCTGATATTATCATTATGTGACAAAAAAAAAAAAAAAAGAGATAGCTATCATTTGAACCTAATAAGTTCTGAGAAATTGTAAACTCTTGGCATATAGGTAGCTTTTATGAGTTCCCTGGCTCCAACTTTGGGTTTTGGTGGAATGATGCTAGAAGTTTTTTGCTTCTGTTTCTCAGTTTTCAGCACCATGGTTATAACTCTCCAAAATATCATACTGAAGCTTGTATTCTTAATAAACTAAACTTAAAGAAAAAGATGAGATGCTGGAGTGGCTTTTTTTTAAAACTGGTAATGCTTGGGTGTTCTGAGCTGTCATATCATTTAGTATGCTTTTTGATATTTCCCTTGGTAATACACCCTATTGTTTAACTCTTGGTTTTCATGATAGCAGTCCTGGACTTGAAATTTTTAATTTTTTTGTTTGATTATAGATGAGCAACATTTGTTCAAGAACCTCCTCCAGAGCTTCACTCAGAAGAGAAATCTCAATCAACCAGTGTATTCTTGTGAATATGAGGGCCCTCCTCATCTTAGGCGCTTCAGGTGTAAGGTCACTGTTGATGGACAAACCTATGAGGGTTTAGAGTTCTTCTCAACAATGAAGGACGCCGAACATGCTGCTGCAAAAATTGCTTTAACATCTTTATCACCAGTTGGATTTCAAGAGGCTAGTTTTCTAACTAGAGATACCTTTCTTTTCCTCTATGTCTTTATTTTCATTTGAGCACTTTTCTTTGAAAATCAGAAGCTGGTGTACATTTCTAAAGCCTGAGTTTTGCATTTGTTTCTCCTCTTTGTTTTTTCCTTCAGGATGACTCTAGCTTTTACAAGAACCTTTTACAAGAACTAGCTCAAAAAGAAGGTTATCAGTTGCCAGTTTACAGTACGACCAGATTAGGTGAAGCCCATGCACCAACTTTTGTTTCTACTGTAGAGGTGGAAGGAGAGGAATTCCCAGGATCAAAAGCAAAAACTAAGAAGCAGGCTGAGATTTGTGCTGCAAAGGTTGCTTATACAATGTTAAAAGAGCGTAAGTGTTATGAATTAACCTTTCCCATCATCCCCTCGAATTCCCTGCTTTCCAACAAGAAAAACTCTTCTCTTATTCCTGCTACTTTGTTTTACCAGTCCTTCCTTCATCACTATTTTCCATGTTATTCTAAATCTTGCAATTAGATTTTTTTTTTTTTTGGCCATCTTGGAGATGGTTTTAAATTGACTTTTAATATATGCAAGGACATAAAAGTTGTTGGAGATGTTTTCTTGAGGACATAAGCTTTTAGAGTGCCATGTATTTTTCACCATTCATCAACTCAGTTTGACAACCAAAACATGATTTTTCATTATGAAGTGCCTGCACAGAGTAAAGAGTAAAAGAATGGAAACTAGTCTTTATGGTGCCCCCCTTGTACTTGGGCTTCATAGGGTTCAACAGTCTTATGGTGCATGGCTGGTCATGGTTACTTTCAATGGGTCAAGAACTGGATTTGCTGTGTGACCCTAATTATAGTGCAGGAGACACTTAACTAGCCTGCTGAATTTTCCTATTGACTTCTATGATGGTGATTGTGTCTGCTTGCAATTTTGGTTAGTTGTGAATTCTTTGTGGTGAACTTGAGAGATTGACAAGGTATTATTACACCTTCCTTTTTCAGGCAAGTCAAGTAGGATGGTTAGTTTCAATGTGTCAAGAACTTGATTTGCTCTGTTCCTAATTATGAGGGCAGGAGACATTTAACTAGTATGCAGAATTTTCCTATTGACTTCTATGATGATGATTGTTTCTGCTTGAACTTTTGTTTATTTGTGAATTCTTTGTGGTGAAACTTAAGAGCTTGACGAAGTATTACATCTTCCTTTTTCAGGCAAGTTAAATAGGACCTCTGCCATTCTTACTCCTACCCCTGGTGGACGAGAAGTGTCTGACCTTTCATCTTGTGACTCTTGGTCAAATCTCAGTGCTACTCAGCAACAGAATGTCATACCTATTCCTCCCCCGACATCTAATCCTAATTTGACTTTACAAGAGAGTGCAGACAAGGATATAGATATAGGTAATATTTTTGTTGAAACTTCTTTGGTTAATAATCTTACTAATTAACAGTAGACAAATGTTACCTGTTCACTTTCCTCTAAAGTCTAAACTGCATACAAAATGTTTTTATATTTTGGTCATTGGTCCTGAATGACTGACTATCTTTATTTTGAGTATTTATGCTCTTTGGTTTTTGCCTGCATATTATGAATTTCTGCTCATTAAAGGGCAATATTTGACCTGGATATGGACTTTATGGTATGATAAACAACATTGCTAAGGCCTTAGTTCAAGGTGAAATAGAGAAAGCCATTGTCAATCTGGTGGAGAAGTATAGATTGCTGTCAATTGATTAACACCTTTGGTTTAGGCACTAAATTTCATGCATGCTACAAAAATCTTTTCTTTGTGGTTGCTGGTTGGTAAGTCATATCCATGTTGTTTGAATGGTAACTTCTGAGTTACATTTCAGACATCCTTGTTCCATGCTTCTCATAGAATTCTCTTATGAATTGATTGCAGTAATCGACAGTGTTAGTTTGGCCAACAAAAAGGTTGACAACGTTAGTAATCATAATCTCTCCAATTCATTCCCACAACCAGATATGTTAAGTTGGGAGACTGGCTCATCCTCATCTGAAGCAAATGTTCCTCTGCCTGAAGATGTTCCTCTGCCTGAAGATGTTCTTTTGCCTGAAGATCACCTTTCATCTTCTCCAACTTCTGATTACTTGTCTACTGCTGCTAACTTCGCCAGTGATTCAAGCATGAATATGCCAGTTGAAATAAAATCCTTCTCTGGGTCTGGCAACCGGGTTGAAGTCCGCCCACGTGTACCAAACATGAAATTCCCTGCTGGCTGCACTGTCCTGTCCATAAGTGACGACAAATGGGTCGCCATGAAGTTTGAATCTCAACCAAGCCAGTAACGTTGTTCCAGTGCTTGCAATTATGGGGTTCAAAGAGCTGCCCTACCTGTAACCTCTTTCTTTGTGCATACCTGTAACCTTTTTCTTTGTATTCTAACTATTTTCATTTTTCTTGGCAAATAAATTAGTGCTTTGTCATTGTTATTAATTTTGGATGACTACAAAATCAAGTGTAAATTTAAAAGTTAACATTCACCGTTTATTGTCTTTGGATGATTTTACCCATCTCCGAGATACATAGTCTTATTAGCATGTCCTTCGAAGACATGCTCAGGGCTTAGCAAACTCGAAGTCTTGAAACACAACATATTTTCTACATGTTTCCATAACGAACAGAAAAGTATTTTATAGTTTGAATTATTTTAGACTCTAAAAAACTAACCATTTGATGAAAAGAGGATCTCATAATATTAGGGGTCCTCTTTCTATCAAACAGTTCCTGTTTTACGGTTTGGAACAACCTGAATTGTATAACACTGCACTCTTTCTCCATATTGATATCTCCCAAGTAATTCTGGAAAAAGTCTCAACCGAAATTCCCCATGATAAAAAAGGGAAAAAGTTGACATAAAAAAAATCAGTGCTTGTCAAGTATATACTTAAATAGCAGACAAATGGTAACCTCACAAGCCTCTCTAACCTGTCATTGGGTTTTAACTGAAATGAGTTCCTACAAACTTTGTTTTTGACAGATGAGAAGACGCCTAATAGAACAATTAAGCTCAACGAAAAGACTATATCTCTGGAAAAATTTCAACTCACATAAGGACTCCTTCGGAATTATTAAGGGCCTTCTTTGCAACCTTAAATTTATTGATCACCTTTTTGTTGCTTTTCAGAACATACTCCTTGACGAAGAACTCAATGCCTTGCCTCAAGGATTCGAGCTCAGGGGTCACAGCTATCCGTGTGAACATGTTCCATATGATCTTGTCAGGAAACTCAAAAATGGCCTCAAACAGCATTCGGAAATGCATGATCCTTTTAGGGGTCATCATGTTGGGATCACTCCAGTCTATTGTTTTCAAGACAGCAAGGGATAGATTGAAGGAAGCAACCATCTCTGTAGTGAATTTTGCTAGGTGCATTGATCTCAGAAGTGGCATTGACTCCAGCTCCTTGAATTGATCCCAGAGACAGTACTGTGAAAGCAAACCAGATCAGAGGATTAGAAATGAACAACCTAACATTTTAATACTGCAATTGTTTGCCAACAATTCTGAAGGAGCCTACTAAATGGATCATAGTAATAGGTTAACCAAACTGGGATGGATGGCTGACAACTTTTTAAGAGTCATCAAATTAGGTTCGATGCATGAACCAATGAAATGAAGCATAAATATAAAACGTATGTGCAAGTCTAGTCTAGGGTTTAGTTGAGTTTTTAGTTAATTTTAAGTTTTCCTTTCACGCTTTCCTTGACATCCTTTATACATTAATATATTGCACGTTATTTTGTCAAACTTTCTTTTAGAGCTTTCAAACTGACTCATACCTATATAAGGCTTCTTTTGATAATGCTTCTTAGTGCTTTAGCTTTTATTTTTATTGTCTTTTTTCTATCTTACAAGAATATAAAATGTTAATTAAAATAAATATTAAATATATTAAAATAGAAATTATATATTTTGGGGATATTAAAAGACTAAAAAACCTAGAGTTATAGCTAGAGCCCAATACCGTTAAACAAAGCCTAAAGTGTCATTCTACTTAAACCCCCAATGAGAAGAGAAAAAAAATACCTGTAAAGTAAACTTGTGATTTTTGTCATGCTCACACAACTTGGAGGCAAGAATAGTGTAATACTTGTTGAACACTTTTTCTTGTAAACAGCACTCAACAAGAACCCGGATAATTTCTCTGTCCTGCTTTCCTGGCAAATCCAACCTCAGAAGCTTCTCAAATGCATCAATGTAGTCTTCACCACTCATTATTATACAAAAGATTGCCTTTCTGGCATCTGTATTCATTCTCTGTGAGGCAGCAAGCTGCAGCATTTTCTGAGCTTCGAGAACCTCTTTGTCAATTCTGCTTGCAACCTCTTCAACATGATCTGTTGTAGAAGCCATATCCCCAGATAACCACCATTGGCCCTTCTTCTCAGGATCAAGTAGCTTGCTCCATTTTAGCCCTCTTATTAAAATATTTTCAACTCTTAACTGAAATTCACAAATCAAATAAAATATTACAAGTCACAACATTGTGCTGATGAGAAATCTACTGTGTCATAAGAACCATTTCAATAAGGAAATACACAAATCCTAAATTATTTCATGGAAGTATAGCTGACAACAAGCTGCAGGTCATTTTGCCTAATCTTTCCTTTCTCTGTTACGTTTCTCCTCAGTTCTCTCCCCCTCTCTCTCTCTCTCTCTTTTTATTTTTTTCTTTAATTAATGACTGTAAAAGAATCATCTCAATAAGGAAATACACAATCCCAAACTATTTCATGGAAGCATGTCTGACAAGAAGCTGTAGGTCATTTTGCCTTATCTTTTCTTTCTACGTTGTGTTTCTACTTTGTTCTCACTTTTTTACCGAACATGTTCCTCCAATTAACTACTAACATAAAACATCTACCAACAAAGCTGATACAGCATAACAAGTCTAATCGCTACACAGAAAAGGATGCTTGATAGATGCTGGAGTCTAAAAAATGGAAGGAAACACTACTAAAATGCTTAACATGTCCCCTAAGGAGATTTGTTGCCTTGAGTTCTGTTTAGTAGGAAGTTTAACTTAAGGTAGAGTTAATTACTCTACTCATGACCAAGGAAACCTTGTTCTTTTTCCCAAGTGAAAAACAATGATAACTTAATGAGAAAAATTAAAAGGAAAATTTCATCAGCATTACTTTCTGCAGCCACTTATTTATTCGAGTGTGCTGTGCTGTATCCTCTCTTTTCTTGTTGTTTTTTATGTTGCTTATGCTTTCAAGCAAGTGCTCCATCTGAAAAAAAATGGCTATAAAGTTAACAGAAGATTAACAAAAAAATATATAAAATGCCTATTGTAAAAAGCTTACTCTTTTGCTGTACTTGATCTGCCCATCACCAGAGGAGGCCTTCAACTCATTCACCCTCTTTTGGACACTAATAACAAATTCCTTCATAGCAGCAGGGTCATCACCCCTTATTTTCATCCCACAGCCTATTCATCAAAGATATTATTTTAAACAAGAAAAAATATTAGTCTTGTACAAAAAAGAGTTAAAAGAAAATTCAAAAGTTTAACACAACCTAATAATCATAAATTGTCAGCAAAGACTAAACAATGAACTTCAGGGGAGGGATAAATAAACTCCGATCACACAAATAAAGACAATATATATATATATATATATATCTAGATAGATAGATTTACAGTAAACCTTACCCTGTAAAATTTTCAAGATAATGGAGACATCAATCTCTGTCAATCGCTTGCCCAACATGATGAGATAATCATATATTAAATCACTGGCAAAACCAATAAATGCTGCTATTAGAATCGTGTTGTTTAAAACAAAGAGCATTGTTAATTTGCAACTAAGTGAAAGGATGTCAGTGCAATTATGGGATAAAGACATGATGAACACCGAGAAACCAGTTTGAATAACAAAAGAAGCTCAAGATAATCAGTTAGTGACCAAGATTGCAAGGCTGTAGCATTCAACAAAGAACTAGTAACCATAAAAGAATGGTGATTTTTGGTCCATAGACAACTGCACAATCATGCACATGATCACCTCTTCATTATAGTAACCATAGAAGAACAATATCATCAACAACTCTTTCCAAGTGCACTACTGGAAAATGCCTTTTTGTGTAAGCCTTATTTATCTATTCAAATTATCATAATTTGCAATAGGGTCAAGTGCCAATGTTTTGCAAGATTATTTACCAGGCACAAACTCCAAAGATGCATAGATAAGATAGCAGAAGTGCAAGATCTTGCATGTTCTCATCCTGAAAAACACAATAGAAAGTGAGAACAAAAGGTTAAGTTTTTAATGTTTCAGCAGTACAAATGAAGACTCTGAATATAAAAACACCATATAATTACATTTGGAATGTAAAGTGAACTAGAAAACTATGCCACAAGGGCTAGAACCCCTAACAATCGGTAATGTTAAGAGCTTCTTTGGGTTGAGGGAAATGGAGGAGAATTCAAAAATGCCATCAGAACTAAACAATTCTATTAGTTAGGAATGTAAGAAATGGCTGATTGAGATTAAACTTCTGAAAATAAAATTGCTTGTCAAAACTGGGTCACAAACCTCAAGAGACTTGGCAAGTGAAGCCATAAGCTTTGCACCGAAGTCCATTCCAACTAAACATGCCATGCCTGCAAAAAAAAAAAAAAAATGCAACATTAACCATATAAGAATTTGGATGGAGAAAAAGGTAAAGCTAAAGAAATAAAAAGAATTTGCAGTTTTTAAAATAGTCTTACAAAAGGTCATATTGAATCCAATAATGAATAAAAAACTTAAATGCAACATCTTATATTTGCTGTTAGGAGAACAGCAATCATGACCACTTTTGTTTTTGGTCTTTGGTAAGGAAGCCCATAACCATTTCATCATGGAAGGGAATCCTTGATAGCAATTGCAAGTTTTC